TCGAAATCACTTCTGCGTCATATGTTGTAATAAGAACTGAATTAATATTAATTGTTTTTAATCTATTATTAAAACTAACTAATTGAATAGACGAGTCTACTTTTTCATAAAGTTCATGATCCACATAATCCAATGAATTTCGCCAAGGTTGTACTTCTCTCAAAAATTCATCATAATTCATTTCATCAAATTTAATCAATGGAATGAACGATTTTAAAGATTCACCCAAAGCATCATAATTTTCCGTTTCCCATTTTGTCTTTGGATTTGGTAAACCAGGTGTATTTGCAATTCCCCATTCGATAATTCTCTTCCATATTTCAACAGGTTTCATGAAAAAATGTTGACATTTGAAAAAAGATAATAAAGTATTTTGGTCCATTGTAGTAAAATCGCTAGAATCAAATATTGTTGTAGGGTTCTCTTTAATGAGTTCAATAACACATTTTCTTATTTTCGGATAACGTTCACCTTGTTCGGTAGCAAATCGATGAACAAAAATGAAATGTGACATTAATCTCCAAGGATGGGTAAGAAGATAATTCTGGATATACTCAGATAGATCAGGTATGCAAAGTTCGTCCGTAGCTTTTAGTACATCAAGAATTACTTTTGCATCATATTCTGCCAAGCAAACTGTGCCGCCATACAAAAAACTAAAATAATTAAATGGAAAAATACGTGATAATATAAGATAGTAAAACAGAATTTTTCATAATAATAAAATCAACCTACGTACTTGAGAATAACTTCGAATACTTCAGGTGAAACATTAGGTTTAAAAAATAACATTATATTTTCCTGAGTTCGTACCCAATTGCTTGACAAAGCACTACGAAAATATGCAGACCTTGCTCGTAAGACAAGTGAATGCACTCGAAATTCTTTACGATTTGGTTCTTGTCCAGCACACAAAACAACATCGTAATATTCTCCTGTTTTAAAAAGTTTTATGTAATCGTTTGACAGTTGAGTTAATAAATTGGATTCCATTATTTCTCAAATTAGTAAAAGTTACTATATAGTTAATATAGTTAATTAATAATTTCATTACATGACTAACTAGACATGTTTTAAAGAAGTATTAACTATTGAAACTATTCCGTAAATGTATTGAAAACAATAAATGACAAGTTTTTTTTTGATTGGCTATCATATAATTAAATGTCATTGGTTAATTGTTCGAAGTGCATTCAAATATGTAGGGATAAGCAGGCATTAACAATATAATTATTATTATTTTTAAAAAAAATAAATCTTGGTAAAAAAAATGCTAACTAAAATTAATACTTGCAGTGTTTGCACTGGATATGATAATAACTTGAATATACTGTATATATTTAATTGTTTTTGAATTTTACAGATTTGTAAACTTTAAGATATCTTAACAACTACTTGATACGTAGAATTTGAATTTATATATTTGTTGAATTTAAATAAAAAAAAAAAATTTATTAAATTTTAATCAAGTAGTTATTAAAATAGGATTTATTAATTTTGTGCACCCTGCACAAAATACAAACAATAATTAGGATTAGGGTTAGGATTAGAGTCAGGATTAGGATTAGAAGGTTAGAGGTTAAAGTTAGGTTAGGGTTAGGGTTAGAGTTAATTTAAAATTAAAATCTAAAGTAACTTCGCGAAAGAAGCATTTTTTGTTAAGAATACAACAGAGGTTATCTTAGTAAAATTTTGAAAATACAACAGAGCTACTCTAGTAAAATTTTAAAAATATAATAGAATGCATAGCTGTGCAGATGCACATATTAAATAAACCCATTAAAATATTTTTATTTAAATTTTTTTAATAAAAAATATTTAAATTTATAGAAAAGCAAATCAAAAAATTTTTATCAAATTTGATTTAGTAGTTGTTAAAATATTTTAGTTAAGTTTTTTATTTAAAAAAATTTGCTTTATTTTTATAAACTTTTTTTATATTTGTAAAAAATTAAATATATAAATTTAAATACTATAAAAAAGTTTATTAAATTTTATCAATTAGAACTCTGCTTAGGAGTTATCTATTAGATTAAAAGTGTTTTAGATTTAAGTAATACAGAAGCTAAAAAGAAGAAAGTAATCTATTAGGATCAAAGAAAATAGAACTAGAAAAACTTTATATCTTATACAAAGAGGCATAAAAAGAAAAAAAATAAAAATTATCTATATTAGCAAAAAAAATTATTAGAAGCTACAGATTAGATATATTTTTATCAAAGAAGACAATAAGAAATATTTTAGCAAGAAACCTAGAATCAAAAAGAGATTTTTTAAAGCTACAAAATATAGATTTAAAATTCACAAAAATTTTCTTTCAAGAGGCTAAAAAGAATAATAAGAAGTTAAAATTATACCAAAAAGGTTTTTTACTAGCTAAAAAACTATTACTAGCAGCTTTAGCAATTTTGAATATGATTCAAGAATTGAGTATCTCAAATCATTTTATTAATAAAGAATTAAGAATTAAGTTGATTAGTAAAATAGAAAATTTTATTTATTTACTACAACATAAAGCTAAACATATTGAAGTTTACAGAAAACAGAACCTTGCAAGTTTAACAAATTGAAATAAGAAACTTATTAATACTTGTGAATTTATTGATAATAATAAAGACAACAGCTAGTTATTTGGCTTTGAGATTAAAGAAGTTGTTTATTAAAAAGCTAAAATTGCAAAAAACAATAGTAAGTAGCAGAAAGTAAATACAAGATTGAAATATAGACTCAAAATTCAGAATAAGGTAGAGGATTACAAAATAAATTCTACTTAAAAACATATATATTATAGAACAAATTAAAAATTCAGCTAATCTAGAAGCTCAAAAAACTTTTCTAATTATAATATTGCAAGATTTATCTAAAATTAAGAGAAATAAAAAAAAAAAAAACCAGATTAGAGAGATTCAACCAGAACAAAGGAAGGCTCTTAAAATTTTTGAAAAATTGGAAAAAAATAGGAGATCAATAGATATTAAATATAATATTAAAAGGTCTAGACTTAGATTTAAAATTTTATCTAAAAAATATATATCACAAAAGAAAAAAAATAAAAAATTATCAGTTGATTATAAAGATAATAGAGAAATTCAAATTAAAAAAGTAATAATAGAAGTAAGGAATATAAATTTAATTTTATAGAAATTAAATCTATTCATGATAAAACAAAAAGAAAAAAAAAGAGAGCATTATAAATATATACAAGAGCATTAAATAATACAATACTATATAATTATTTTAAAATAATAACAATTTGTTTAGTAAAAAAAAGCTTTTATGAAGAAGACTAGATTATAAAGTTAGATATTTAAAACATGTATCTTCATATTTTTTTGAACTAGAAAACAATACAATAGTTAGGCTATAAATAAAAAAAAAAGACATTCAAATTTATCTCTTAATATATAAACTAATGCAAACAAATTTTTGCACTTTTTTAGCTCTAATTTATTTCTTTAAAATGCTAAAATATCTAAATAAAACTGTACAATTATATTTGAAAATAAAAATTATTTTTTTGCAAAATTAATTTTTATAGTATAAGAAAAAAAGTTCAGATTGCTTATCTCTTAAATTTTAAACAATTCCAGGTAAATTTGCTTAGAAAATTGCTATAAATTTGTTTATAATTTACTTTTTTTAATTAAAATTTAAAATATTTAAATAAAAATTTTTTTAATAATATTTAAAAATAAGGATTATATTATAGTAGTATTTAATTTTATATTATAAAAATAAAAGTTTGGATTGCTTATAAGCTAAAAACAAATAAATTTAAAAAAAAATTTTAACTAAAAAAATTATTTACAA